AAAATTGACTTTAAAAGCTGCAGCCATTTGCTCCATGTGTCCTATAAATCAAGGGATGAACCATGGTGAAGGGATTGACCCAGTCAGCCATGGTAAGACAAAGTAAAAACACAGCCGGGATGAAGAAAAGTTTTACAGAGGGTTTCTAACTGCTTATTGGTGGGGTCTTTAAAGAAAGGAGTGTATTTAACTGTAGCAGGCTGGGGGCCGATCACGTGGGCGCTGTACACACAAGAGACGTGGACAGAGTCGGGAGAGCTCTGCCCAGCTGGCCGAGGTACTGGTACAGTAATGACTGCTGCTAAGGATCATGTGGATTATGTGTGAGGGGAATGAGGTGTCTGCAGGGTTGCGGGTCGTGTCACCATATGGTCAGATCTGTTTGGCCGGCCTCGATCCCGATTGGGTGGGAAGCCGGCTTCCCGGCCAATCAGCATTGAGCCGACCAAACAGAATGGATTCCGATTCCTGGGCAATCACGCTGCCTGGCTCCCTGATGCCGGGAAGCCGGCTCTATGCTACAGAGTACCAGTACTCGTATCAGCGAGTACCGAAATATAAATATCGGTACTAGATATTGGTGCATCCCTAGATTCTCATATCAAAAATTTCTATGCCAGATCCCAGACTTCTGAGGTTGTGTAAAGCCTTGGGTGGAATAAAGCCTCCATCCCACAGACAACATATCACCTGGTAAACAAACAGGCTGCTGGACCAAGAACCGTGCTGTGTCTGGCGATTGTTATTCCTGCCAGCCTCCGGAAAAGCCAACAGGGTTACAGAACCACGAAACACCAACCTACAAACAAGTGGGGAACAAAGTAAAAAATTCCCACACGCCAGCGTTTAGAAACATCCATGGCTGTACAGTGATCCGCCGAGCCCAATCACAGTAAAAATAATTTTCATAGCACAGGAGTGCTGGGAGCAAACCACTGCAGAAAAACTGGAAAGAGCTGAAAGGCACAGCATGCTAAGAAAATTAGATCTTGGACACACTGGTGCCCTGGCTGTTCGAATGGTGCACATCATTAACACCATACCTACAGACAGCCGCTGGGTTGTCAGTGGACTACACCACAGCATTCACACTCTCGCCACCATGAACCTAGCAACACAGGCGTAAAATGATACCATGGAAAGGCGGAAGCAACAAAATCTAAGGCAACAAAGCGTGCCAAAAATTGCCCACCACCAGTGGTGGTCCCAAGATAGAGCCTGAACCTGATACGAAGGATCAACATGGACAGCGAAGCATATCTCCTATGTGGACAAAAAACTGAACTGTAGCCACCATTTCATTTTGCATACCGGCCATGAAATCATGCATAAGGGAGGATTCACGGTTCACAAAAGGGGCTTCAGATAATTAAAAAGGCAACTTAGTGTTACAACTGCCACAACGTCTTTAACATTCTTAGAAGTTGATGTAGAAGGTAGCCGCTGGAACGCTCAGCAATCTTACACTAAACTCCCCCCTTTGTTCCAGTCCGATCACACAGGACCGGAACGCAGGCAATGGTTTGCCACATGTCCGATTGCACTGCAGGTGGGGGGGTGGATGCTCAGAGGCTGCTGTGCCACTGACTTCAATGCACCGCTCCGCCCCCTCGCACCTCAGAACGAAGGGGGAAGATTGGTGTGCGTTAGTGTGCTACCGCTCTGGAACACACCGCAATTGGTGTGAACTGGCCACAACTGTTTTGGCAGACTTTCACTTTCAAGTACTAAAAGACCAACATACCTTAGTTGGAGTCACATTTGCCACAGGTCTAAGTAGTTGCTGGGGATTGTAAACTGGAGATTGCACATAGTATGATGGGTGTGCTGTTGTAGAAACTGAAATGTTTGAGAGAGAAAATACATTTTAGAAAAGTTTGCTATTAGTTGTTCAAACAATTTATGCTACGCTAAGTACATAATTTATCTGAACAGATGGTCTATTTAAAAAAAAAAAAATAAATATTGGTCACCAAGAGAAAGATCACTGCAGGTATGGCAACAGCAGCCTTCCAAATCACCTTGTCATGGCAAAAAACAGTGCGCCATTCTAAAATACACAGATCAGACACCTCTGGGTAGTGATGGAGCTGGCAGCAAAGCCTCATCAGGAAGTGGTGAAGCTTTCCCTGTAAGAAAAGTCTGAGAATTCGGCCATAACAAAGGTTTGGGATGCTACTGCAGGTAGGAGGTGCCCACATTTTATACCTTTAGCAGTTTGATTCCCTTCCCCTCACTGATCAAGTATAGCAGATGGTGGAACCCAGTCCTTAATTGAGTGGGAAGCAAAATCAGGTTTCAAGCTACAAAAAGGGAAACTAAAGTATAGATCACAGAAAAAGGTTAAAGTTTGAAGTGGACTACATGCTCAATTAAAAGTTAAAAATAATTTTTGAATACAAACATTTGAGAACAATTAGGATAGCTAAAAAAAAAAAAAATATATATTATTTCGGCAATTAAAATTTTAAGTAAACCTATCCTGGAATAGGAAAAGGGGTTGCCATTATGGACCCCCATTTTGGTTTTGCCGGATAGATGAGACTGCTGGTTAGCGGAGTTACAGATAACAGTGTTTACTGTGTATCTGCCTGGCTGTGATGCCAATGCATTGACCCAAAATAAGATCAGAAAAACCAGACACATTTGTTCCAAGTTAAACAAAAAAATAAAACTATAATTATAATATTTATGCAGAGGGACTGGGAAATCAAGTAGCATTTTCAGATGCACACGTCAACCATGGCAGGCTCTTTCCATCATTTTCATATTATCTTCTTAAAGAACCCTGTTAAGAGTCCAATTTGGACAGCACCTTCTGCGTGTTTTTCAAACTGTATTTCTACTTGTGTCTAACTGGTGTAGTTTAACTTTAAAGCTATTAGAGATTTTACTTATTAAAAAGTTATAAAAAATACAGGTTATATTACTAATAGTACAACTGTGCAGTAACAAGTCAAAAAAATATATAAAAATAAATAAATTAAAGCCAAACCTGTCAAAGGAACATCATAATAGCCCTGGGGTAAATGGTATCCATCAGTTGTTGTTTCGGAAGCAAATCCTTCAGCTGACCACCGTTGGGAAGACATATTGGCATTTGAATTATTCATTCTTAGTTCATGTACTTCTTTCTGCAGAGAAAAACACAAAACGTTTTTTTTTATGCACATCCACTGTGCTGTCCTATCCAATTAAAGCTTCAAAAGTGGAAGTTTACCATCTATTGCAGAAAAAACCCTCAGAAGCCCATTTCCTTAGTTCAGCAAACAGCTAAATACTCTAAAGCAGTGGTTCTCAAACTGTGTAACCTCAGGACGCACATTCGTCCTTGGTCAATAAGTCGTGACCCAAGTCACACCACACTGGAACGCATAGCATTGCAGTACCGTGCATTCCGGTGCGGGGATCGAACTGTGGGTGGGAGGTGTGTTTAGGTGCCATTCAAATGAATGGCAATGCAACACCTCCCACACCAGAATGCACAGTAGGTGCAATTACATGGTAAGCCGAGTTAATTGCACGGGACCGTGGGGTTAACATACTGTACTAGTGTGAATGGGCCCTCAAAAACACTGACAATCTCACACACACCAAAAAAAAAAAAATAGTGTTCTTTTTTCGTTTACCCAGTCTCCCTATCTTACAAGAACTGGAGTGGATCCTCAGCCTGGGGAGCAGTGTGGGCTGCTGTGCTGGAGCTCCATCCATATGTGTATTGGTGTTACAACTCCCTTGCACACCCTGAACAGGTGCTGAGAGCCAGAATGTGACGTCACTCTAGTCCAGCCACCACTACAGGACAATGCGAGGGAGCTGTAAGCAATGCACTTATGGATGGAGCTCCCTCTCGGCCATAGCTCCATCCACAAGCTGACACCGGGCAGCATATTTTGAATGGCTGCTTGGTGTTAGAACCGACAGTGCTGCGCTAAGGGAAGGCAGAGGAGCCTCTCACCTAGAAAAGTGGAAGGCATGCGGTAACCCACTGAACACAGGGTGGCAACCCACCAGTTGAGAGCCAAGGCTATAAAGAACTGTATTTGAGCCATTAAGGCGCCCATACGATAATCGCGGGAAATCCCGTGATCGTATGATAAATCGCAAAGTGTATGGAAAGCGTGTGACCGTTTCTACTGTACGGTCGCACGACTTTTGTATTTCGAGCATGTTCGAAAACCAGATGAGAATCGTACGATTTTCAGCTGGTTTGTAACATGATCGTGAGATAACTGCCGCATGGGCCGTTGTGCACAAGTGCACACTGCCCATTCACCATTGCGGTCATCGGAAGCCCGTCCCTTAGCAGGCTGGGCTTGCGATGATCGCAAGTATGATCTGCCTGTCCAAGATGGGCAGATCGCACGTTTTTTAAATTACTTTACAACCCTCGCAAGACACAAGTCTTGCGAGGGTTGTAAAGTGTATGGCCACCTTTAATTTGCTTCTGTAGGCTACTTGATCAGTACTGTTGCTGAAGTCAGAGCCATCTTGCTTGTTTTTCTCAGAATTGTTTTTTTCTATCCCTTCTTGCACCCTCCATTGAAGTCATCAGTAAGTCTTGCGTATGCATGGACCAAAAAAAAGCCGAGCCTCAGCAAGTAAAACAGACTTGCAAGAGCGAGGGCCCATGTTAAGAGATTTATGACTACGCTATCCCGATAAGGCCTCATTCACACAGCTTAGAGTTGGGCTGTAGAGATCCGTGCAGCATGCACGGCCGTATCGGGCCGTTCCTGGGAAGGACTGGTGCTGCGTGTTATTGTACGCGCAGCAGCCTGTTCTTCCCTATGGGAGGATACGGTCGTACGTTGTCGTAAGCTCACTCGAGCTGCACATCAGTGAGGGTGCCCAAACGATCCCATCCCGTACAGTTACACGCAGAATGCCAAGTGTGATGAACTGCACATGCGTTAGTGACATCAATGCCAAACAAAGCAGAACTGCACAAAACGAAAAAGCTTTAGAGCAGGGGATGTCTAACTTAATTTCATAGTGGGCCGCATCAGCATTATGGTTGCCCTCAAAGGGCCGGTTGCATCTGTAAGACTATATAAATGTATCTACTCTATAATATGAATTGCCTCTGCATTGGATTACGGATTTTATTAATAAAATCTGAAAGTCTAGGAAAAATAGCAATTAGTGCAGACTCTCAGGTGGCTGTGCAGGTTCTATGGTGGGCTGTGTGGACCCATTGTACAGACAAATTACTCCGGACAGATGTTGCCCCTACACAAGGGGGTTTCACATTCTTCTCTAAACCCGCAAGTCAAAAACCGTGTATTCGCTCCGCCCATGCCGAGGTCCTAGGTGTCATCCTTGACTCGGACCTCACCTTTCCTCCCCACATCCAATCACTATCCAAATCTTGCCACCTTCACCTTCGTAACATCTCCAAAATACGCCCCTTCCTCACCAATGAAACCGCAAAATGACTCATCCACTCACTTGTTATATCTGATCTTGACTATTGCAACTCCCACCTCATTGGCTTACCTCTACACAGGCTATCCCCCCCCTTCAGTCTATCATGAATGCAGTTGCTAGACTCATCCACCTAACCAACCGCTCAGTGTCTGCATCCCCCCTCTGTCAATCCCCACACTGGCTTCCAATAGCCCAAAGGATACAATTCTAAATATTAACCACTTACAAAGCCATCCACAAGTCTGCCCCGGCTATATCTCAAACCTTGTCTCAAAGTATCACCCTAACCGTGCCCTCTGCTCTTCAAAAGACCTCCTGCTTTCCAGCTCCCTCATCAACTCCTCCCATGCTCGCCTCCAGGAGTTCATTAGAGTCTCCCCCATCCTCTGGAACTCTCTACCCCAACCTGTCAGTCTACCTCCCACGCTGACTGCCTTTAGGCGATCCCTTAAGACTCATCTCTTCAGGGAAGCCTATCCACCTCAACCTAACCACTGAACAATCACTTTCTCAAACAATTCATCCCCGCACAGCTTCCTCCTCATGCATCACTTCCCCCTCCCTTTTAGATTGTAAGCCCTTACAGGCAGGGCCATCCTTAGCATCTTGAATTGTATTGTCTTCCTTATATTGTAAAGCGCTGTGCAAACTGTTGGTGCTATATAAATCCTGTATAATAATACTTACTAGAGGCAGTCTTGGCTATGAAGCACAAAACCCCCCTACCTGGTTGCAAAGCAATAAAATGCCACATGGTGCTGGTTGTAAACAAGGATTTCTATGATCTCATCTTTACACTGACACTGCATAGCCTACTTAACTGACCCAACACAAAGTACAGCTGCAGCTGACCTTCAAGCAAAAAGTTAACTGTAACCAAAACTTTGCCATTTTAAGTATATAACATTGTTAACATGTCTAAAGGAATAATGAAGGGGAAATTGTTCTGGCCAAAGAACTTAGGCAGCCACATACACACAAGCATGCAGGCAGAATAGCTATATCCACCAACTCTATGTTCAAACAACCATCGGTGTCGAGCATGGTGAAAAAAACCTGTTTCATAACCATTTCCTTACCTTCAAGGCTTCAACTTGTTGCACAAGCTCCTCAATCAGAGTTTTTTGATCTTCAGCCCAACGAGGTGGTGTCTTTGAAGAAGACTTATAGGTCCAAAAAAAAATAAGAATTGCTCATGAAATATAAGGATTCTATTCAAAATCTATACAATTTTAAAGGATAGTTTTAAATCAATGTTTTTGTGACCATCTATAAAAAAAAACACATCCAGAAAAAAAAAAAAACCCACACACTACAATCTGTATACCTTTGGTGTTTTACTGGGTGACCGAGAAAACTTGGATGGGGATGGTGTAGAATGCTTTATGCCAGAAGCAGCCATAAAGGATTGCGTATCTCTGAAGTTTGGGCTTCGACTTTCAGGTGCTTCATTAAGATTTCTTCTTACTTCATCCAAAATCTCTTCAACAGATTCAACAGGCACTGGCAACTGCAGGAAAGCAGAACATGTAAACAAACTGTTCTAATTGAAAAAGAATATTGTTTTAAAAAGGAGTTGCAATTAATAGAATGGCCGTTTCCTCAAAAATGGAAAGCAGCTATCATGCATTCAAACGTCAAAAAAGTTAAAATGTATATGTCAACCCTACTATATCAAGCAGTCCATTTTTTTTTTGTTACACACACGTAAGGCTTAAAAGGAGAACTATGAGATGAGTGATTTCCACTCACCTCATAGTTCTAAGCCGACCTGTGACAATGAGACTGTCACAGGTCGGCTCAGTAGATCGGGAGGTGAGCAAACACATACCGGCGTTCACTCACCTCTCGATCCTGTCACGGCTCTCTGCCGTGACAGGGGGAGGGGCTGGATTCCCCTCTCCCCACTCCGATCTGCCAACGCTGACTGGCGGAACGGACGGGGGAGGGGGCGGGTACAGCTGGCTCTGCCTCTAGATAGGCAGAGCCAGCTGTAACTCACTCAGCTGGGCGGATCCCGTCATCTAAGTCGGGATCCGCTCCAGGTGCGGCGCCTCAGTATACCGCGAGCTGTAGCTCGCGGTATACTGAGCCTAGGGTGACGGGAGGACGCTAGTTTGTGTCCTCCCGTTACCCTAAGGAGAACTATGGGGAAAAAACACTGACCCCATAGTTCTCCTTTAAAGCAATGAAGACCTGCACTTTCCTAGCTGACTTCATTTCAACCATCCCAATACATTGGGGGCTATTTATCAAAACTGGAGCAGACAGAATCGGGTTGCCATTGCCAGCTGCTCCAATCAGCTTCTATCTTCAGTTTGCTCAGGTAAGATTGGAAAATGAGACCGAAACATTGATTGGTTGCAGTGCAAATCTGCTCCAGTTTTGATAAATTCCCTAACTTAAGTTGACAGCACAGCAGGGCAAGGCTGATCCAGTGTCTAAAAATTCTATTCTGCATTTAAGTCTGCATCTACTGTTGTAGTACATACACTTCAAGCATCTCCAATAAACAAGCAACAGCAAAGCAGATATCCAAGATCAATAACTGCTAATAGCTGACTCAGTCAATCCCTACATGCTAAATATTGCTAAAATCGTACAGCAAACAGATATTCATTGTTACTCTGAATATTTCCCCAAAATTAGTATTTTTTTATGAGCATGCTACATCTATGTAGTGAACAGTAAAAATGACATATTTGTGTAAATGGAACCTGGAAGTAGACAGGAGAAGAAGCCCTGTCATCCATAGTGTAAGCACCCTTAGGTGCCTGCTTACATTCTCAGATCACTTTTCTTGCATCCTGGAATCCTTTAACCCCAGGCCACAAATAACAGATTCCTGGTTGCACTTTAGCCTGCCTTCCCTGCAACCTCAGCTTTCCTGGTGGCCTGTGAACACTGCATTTGGTGACCAACAGGAAGGTGAAGGTGGGTGGGAGAAAGTGGGCCATAACACAACCAAGAATCTGTGGTCACTATTTGTTATTTGGGTTTTCAGGGATTCGTAAATCAGAGAGTAAGGTCATCTGCACACACCTATCTATTTAACATAAACCCCCCACCTTTCATACAATGCCATTTCCAAGGCCTTATAGTCCCGTTAGAATTAAATAGAAAGCACAGTAGGTAAACTTGTACGTTTAGGACATTTGTACAGCTACCGTGTTTCCCCGTAAGACCTACCCCGAAAATAAGACCTAGCACTATCTTCAGGGGTTTCTGTAATATAAGACCTACCCCGAAAATAAGACCTAGCACTATCTTCAGGGGTTTCTGTAATATAAGACCTACCCCGAAAATAAGACCTAGCACTATCTTCAGGGGTTTCTGTAATATAAGACCTACCCCGAAAATAAGACCTAGCACTATCTTCAGGGGTTTCTGTAATATAAGACCTACCCCGAAAATAAGACCTAGCACTATCTTCAGGGGTTTCTGTAATATAAGACCTACCCCGAAAATAAGACCTAGCACTATCTTCAGGGGTTTCTGTAATATAAGACCTACCCCGAAAATAAGACCTAGCACTATCTTCAGGGGTTTCTGTAATATAAGACCTACCCCGAAAATAAGACCTAGTGTCTTTTTTCGTAGAAAAAAAAAATATAAGACACTGTCTTATTTTTGGGGAAACACGGTATAAACAATAGAAAGACAAATAAATGACTACACTATGGGCTTTTTTCAAGGAATACAAAAAACAAGCAGTTATATACATTATGTATAGGGATGCACCGATATAAGCATCGGTATCGGCGGCGATACCGAGTATTTGCATGAGTACTCATACTAATACTATACAAAAAACGAGTACCTGTCCGCCATCTTCAGGGACCTGAAACAGCTGCACACAGGGCCCCCATCGCGTCTTCAATGAAAGAAAATGGCCGCGAACTCCTCCTCCAAGTCCTCTGCTCCCGCTGATTGGATGATTGACAGGCTTCCTCACCAGTCAGGAGTGTCTGGTGAGGAAGCCTGTCATCATCCAATCGGCCAATCAGCAGGAGAAGAGGTCGGAATGGAGCAGATGACTAGGCTGTGACACGGAGTGGCTGAAGCAGACGGAGAAGACGACACGGCACAGCAGGTTAGTACTGCAGCACCATACATACCAAAAATATAAACCAGCTAACGAGAGTGGCTAGTTTAAAAAGGGTTAACAGAGGATCGGGACAAGTATTCCAATTACAAAAAGAGTTTATTAGATAAAATATCAGTTTTGGACATAAACATCATATCACTAACTGGTTTTCAAAAATAACAAAAAAGCATGACATACAATTATAAATCTTCAGGTATGCAGATCTGTTTGTGTAATGTGCTCTCATTCATATATGCTAATCAGCTGACACCATGGGGGAAAGAAACGGATGATTTTTTAAAGTATGAAGTGTAGTCACAGTGCTAAAGGTTTTTTGATAAATGTAAAAAAATTTTTTTTAAATATATATGAAACAACCTGAATTGACAACCCTGTGAATAAGTCTTCAAAGAGACCTACCACTGTGGGTATGAAGTACCAGAAAACAGGTGTCCATTAAAGACTGAAAAAAATGTGAAAAAATGCTAATGTGCAAACATTCAAAATAAAAACTAGATTCCCCACTAAAATAGGTGAATAAATAATGTAACCGAATATCACAATGTAAAAACCGTAAAATCTAGTATATAAAAGGTGAACTAGAAAATTATTACATACCATACAATAAATTCATAAATATGTGAAAAAGTGCAAAATAGCAGTGAGAACAGTGAAGCATATGCACCAATCAAGCATGTAATACAAATGAGACAATGAAAACCATAAGTCTTTCCAAAAAGTTCAATCCGTGATGTGAATTTAACCAAAAAATGCACATTTACGGTTTTTACATTGTGATATTCTGTTACATTATTTATTCACCTATTTTAGTGGGGATCCAGTTTTTATTTTGAATGTTTGCACATTAGCATTTTTTCCAGTCTTTAATGGACACCTGTTTTCTGGTACTTCATACCCACAGTGGTAGGTCTCTTTGAAGACTTATTCACAGGGTTGTCAATTCAGGTTGTTTCATATATATTTAAAAAAAAAAAAATTCACATTTATCAAAAATCCTTTAGCGCTGTGACTACACTTCATACTTTCACATTCAACACCTCTCAAAGCAGCTTTAGGACCACCATTTGAATATTTTAGTTCATTTTCCAAGAGAGCAGATTTTTGTTGTAATTGGATGATTTTTTAAGAAGGTGCTACTATGTAACTTCCATGTTTTTCCCAATGGAGATTAATACGTGTATTTCAGATACCAGCGGACACCAAAGGATAATATGTTATATGGAACGTATTATCCTTTGGCGTCAGCTGATTAGCATATATGAATGAGAGCACATTATACAAACAGATCTGCATACCTGAAGATTTATAATTGTATGTCATGCTTTTTTTGTTATTTTTTTTAAAACCAGTTAGTGATATGATATTTATGTCCAAAACTGATATTTTATCTAATAAACTCTTTTTGTAATTGGAATACTTGTCCCGATCCTCTGTCAACCCTTTTTAAACCAGCCAGTTAGCTGGTTTATCTTTTTGGTATATAGGGTTCATTTTGGTTACAGATCTGGTTGACAAAAATGATATAAAGGGTAATTTAAATGCTTCTGATCTCCTGGCAGAAACAAAATCGTTAGCCATTAGTACTCCAGCACTGCATGGGGGCTGGGCACATGGAACAAAAATAATATATGCCTGTAATGTTGTTTAACTTTATATAATATCTCAAAAAAAAAAACCTTAAATAATTAAATTAATAAGTAGATCTTGCCATTGCTAACTAAAGCTCGTATCACCCTAGTGGGGAAATTAAATGAGCACATGTGCAGACTCCAGAACATTGTATAGTGTGGCACAGCCATATCCAATTCTGCATACCTGGCTTTATATTATAAAAAAAATTATAATATAAAGCCAAGTATGCAGAATTGGATATGGCTGTGCCACACTATACAATATAGTGTTCTGGAGTCTGGCCATGTGCTCATCTATTTTCCCCACTAGGGGGATACAAGCCTTAGTTAGCAATGGCATGATATTCATTTAATGTTCTTCATAATATGAAGAAACTGACCTAAAATCATTATTTTGTATTGCTTTAGAAAAAATGTGACCTGCCCCATTTAAGAAAAAGTATCAGTAATTGGTATCGGTGAGTACTTGGAAAAAAGTATCGATACTCTTACTCGGTCTTAAAAAAGTGGTATCGGTGCATCCCTAATTATGTATACATAAAAACTAATCATAAAGCGCTCATCTGTAAAAGTAATATTCTGTTACCTTTGCTGCCAGGGATGGATCTGCAGTAATCTCATCAAGAATCTTGATAAGATATGACTTGTATTTCTGCATACAATTCCGATATTCCTCCTGCTCTTCAGAGGACATATCATTCTCAATATCTTCTCCTTTTCTCTGGTATATCTAAACAAAGTCATAGAACAACAAAATAAGAGCAAATTCGAGTTGCACCTCAAATGCAAACAAAATTACATTTTATATTGCACATTCCACAGCATCTCTCCAATTAGCAGTCTAGCAGAATAATTTTACTGGCTATACACACACATACCAATGCAAGATTCCAGTACGATTCAACACTCTTAATGGCTTCAAAAGCTAGTATGGCATCATCATGCTTTCCATCCAAAATATCCATTTTGGCAAATGCAATGCCTGCTTCATCTTCAAGATCTCTTACATCAGACAACTGAAAAAAGAAGATTAAAAGTGTTAACAAGTGTGGCTAAAAACACTCAACCATATGTCACATTACAGAGGAGTTAACATTGCTATCTCACTGCATATTGACTGGATGGTTAAAATCAAATACGAGTAAGCAACAGGTCTCCAACATAAAAGTGTCAGAACAATTCCACTTATTCATATCCGCTAATACCACTCTCCACAACCATTGATGTACACTGCAGACAGTAACATTCTTTTCAACAGGTTTTGTGCATAAAGCCTAATTCTTCAAAGTACAAAAAGTACCTTTACAAGGCTTCAGAAATATCACAGTTAATACAAAGTGGCTTGGTAAAAGAAAACATTAAAGTGAACCCGACAAGTACACATTTTTAGATTTAACATACAACCTAATAGGGCTGCAACCATCTAAAATCGATAATATAGCAATGAGAATAGTTGTCAACAATTCTCATTATCGATTAGTTGGTTGGATCCCCTTACTCTCTTCCCCATGCTGGGAGGAGGGCACAGCAAGCAGTGGACGGGTGCAATAGCCAGCCTGCTATTGCCATTTGAAATGGCCAATAGTAGGCTGGCTATTGCACCCGTCCAGTACCTGCTGTATTTACATTCAGAAGCCATCTGCGGAATCTTGCCACCGGCAGCCGTCATTCCCTGGCTAAAGTTTGTTGGAAAGAGCGTCTGTATCCTGGAAAGAGCGTCTGTATCCTCTTCTACAGGTACAGTAGAAACTGTTAATATAGGTCGGCTTTAACACTCGCAAGTATTACCCCCAACAGACTCACAGCACTTCCCCCAACATGGCTTCATGTGTCTCTGAAGGGACAAAGCCATCTTTGTTTAAATGTCACCCTGGATTAAGATGTTGGCTCACAGATAATCATGTAATATACTAGGCCGTGTGCAGTTCTTGGATGTGTTTACAAGTGTATGATGCAGATCCGCCCCTGCACTTTGTGACTTGCTAAAAAGTTAGTGTTTGTTAGTTTGGTTATGAGGTAGGCGGGACGCAAAGAGACAGGACAAATTAATCCTGCCTGCAGCAGGATGATGACAATTTTGAATATGCATTATTACTTAACTGGAGCTTAACAACTGCTTTTTAATAGTAAATGGTACAGCTTTTATGAAAACTTTTTTTTTCTGTATAATGTGATGTTGAGGAAAACATTCCAACAGACTTGGATTATTGAAGGTTACACTATAAGTGGAGCTCTTATTTAGTTCTTCTGGTATTAGCTCTCTGGACACAGAGAAGATGGTTTGTTTAACAAAGTAGTTGCAGCACCTACTTAAGTAACTTTTACTTTTCAAAGTCTCATGTACACTTAAAGATCACTTCAAAAGCTTTTTTTTTGTTTTTGGAGCCAAGCAGAAGAAATTAAAATGAACAAACCCTGAAAACAAAATCAACACAGCTTTAGAAAGACAAGTCAACACAGCATTTGCAGTAATTTTATCAGAACCAGGGAGCTGCAGGGCTTTTGATGCACTTCAAGAGAAAAAAAAAAGTAGTTAATCTGAAGCTACCAATGCAAAGCATACATAAAATATCCTAAACCCAATCAAATACCTTAATATCTTTGCTGTGGAAATGTTTGAAGAGTGGGTCAACTGGTTCAGGTATGCTCCTCTTCTGTCTGATCACATCCATCAGTGGCAATAATTTCTTCCAGTAGTGGATGCATCGGACTAAATAATCCCTCTGATCATAGAAGGAATTCAAACTGTTCCCCTGAGGTGACAGAAATACGTTAGATTGTGCAAGGCAGTCACTTTTCTACAAGTTCCAGTTTGCAGTGGTACTATGCATAAAACACTTACAGTAGTGCTGAGACCCCTTGCCCAGTGTATGAGAAGGGCAGGCTGCAGACCATGCTTTTCCAAGGCTCGTAGTGTGTTAAGCCCATGCTGAATCACAAGCCGAAGTTTAGCTGAAGAACCAGGCCTGGATTTACAAATGTAATTTACAAATAATTAATATACAGAACATTTTACAACAAATTGATAGTATAAAAAGAACATCCATATAAAAAACACAAACATCTTACTGGGCTGTTTTATGAATGAGACTGTAGACCGCATCCCACCACAATCTCTGTTTATCTGTAAATAGCTGCTTGCAGATCGGCATAGGTAAGCAACGAGGCTGATGGCGGTCATTTGATGTAGAACTGTTTTGCAATTGAAGGTGACTTGTGTATATAACTGCTAGTAAAAATACCTAAAAGCAAAATGAGAAAAAAAAAAAAACACACTGTTAAAGCTGCTCTATGTTTTAACAGGCCACTGTTAAATCGCTTGAGTGACACATATCTAGTTGATATCCGGCCTATCTACAGAAGGAATGAGACTACACCGAGCTCCCCAAAATGTATAATTTTCAATATAAAGCCAACTCAAGTTTCAATGAAAACTGATCACAAAATTTAAAGATTTACAATTCAGTTCCAGTAAAAAAAATAAAGCAATTTCATGTTTTATGTTACAACTCTCAATACATACACATACCATTTAAAAGGCTCTGTGGGGTGCATATAAATGGGCATATTTCATTACTGCAAAAGTTTAATCTCTATGTGAAGCTTCATATAGCCAACACCAGTATTTCCGCAACAGCAGAATTTTACGAAGTCAGGAATTGCATAATTATGTAGATAAACACATCATAACATGTTCATGCAAAAGGAGCTTAGATTGCATTGCTCTGCACTATCCAATTGGTCACAGTGTTATGCCAGTTTCATTTCTCTTCTACCTTCCTTACTTTTCTCATGGGAGAGAATAGGGGGAGGGGGCTGCTACTTCCAATCTTCTTCTGTAAAGGCTTGTTGTCTGGCTAGTACACGGACCAACTGGGTAAAATAAGGTTTAAGCCACTATTCTAGACCTAGTATGTTTTTGCTTACAAAGTCAGACATCCAAATCCCCATGTTTATTCCAGGTAAGGAGACGCCAATTATTGAAACTTGTGTAAGGCAAGCTGCCAGAAAACTAGCATGTGTACAAACAGGAAATGGCAAAAGCACCCTCTGTTTCTCTCAGAAAGATTTCTTTAACCGCTGGCCATCTACCCGTTGCAAAAAAATGGACGGACGGCAAACTCCCATTGGCGGGTTGCCGTAAATAGACAGCTTTTTTTTTCTGCTCGCGCATGGGCAGAAAAACCCTGCCGGTTGTAAACAGCCACCGGTTCGCTTGTATGCGCTGCCTGCACGCGCAACCCCCCTTCACTCCGGGAGTGCCGCTGTCCCGCCTCCTGCACCCTCACCTTTAATCCCGGGATCCGCTACCCCATCTGCTGCCCAGGAGGGTGTCAGGAGGAGGTTGGGAGGGAAATGGGAGGGAGATCAGCATATTCCTCCTTGCTGACCTCCCTCCGTAGTTTGAATGCGGAAGTGATGTGTAATACATCACTTCCGCATTCACCTGTCAGTCCTCTGGCTGCTATAGCCAGAGAGAAGCTGATGCAGATCTCTGCTTCATCAGCTTCTTTGGGGGTCCCCAGGTGACAGGTCTTAGAGACCCCTAATGTCTCCATAAAGAGGACCTGTCAGTGTGCCTTTATTATATTGAGGGATTGTTATCCCCCTATGTGATAGCAATAACATTAAGTATAATTTAAAAAAAAAAAAAAGCAGAAAAATAAGTCACATATAAAGAGCAAAAGTAAAAAAACACATACGCACATATGAACGTAAATATGCGCCAGGTGACAAAAACGACAATCGTGCTACACGTTACATATCACCGCAAAGGTCGGAGTGAGAGCAATAATTTTAGGGCCATCAATCACTGATGACACTAAACTGATGAGCGGTAAAAGCTTTTAAAGCGTCGCCTATGGCCAATTTTGGGTATTGAGGTTTGAGGTTTTGCGGGCGCGCGCAATTTTAAGGCTTGATATGTTTGGTGTCTTTTTACCCGATGTGACCCCGTCTTTTATATTTTATTAAAAAAGTGGGTAATAAAAATGTTTTGTGATTTAATATAGGGGAAAGGTTTTTTTTTTCCCCCGGTAATTTTTCCTTACTATAGTAAAAAATAAAACCCCCAGTGGTGATTAAATACCACCAAAAGAAAGCTGTCCCCCCCAAAAAATGGTATAAAATTAATTTCAGTACAGCGTTGCATGACGAAATAAATATCAAAGTACTGTATGTAGTGCTGAACACTGAAAAATGACCGGAACAGGAAGAGGGTTTAACACAACGGACTTCAAGTGGTTAAAAGGATCATTATGAATCTCAGTTGGAAATCTGCAATCAATGGGTCCCAGAAAAACATACCTCCAGATCAAGACTGCATATAGATTCCGGATTATAGGATTCAAGCTTTGACGTTTCCTGAGGTAGCCGAGGGAAAAGCTGCTTAAGCCACTTGCGAAGGTTCGGCAATGAAAACATGAAGTGCCACTGCAGACCAAGCCAGGTTAAATGCTGCAAATCACCATTGTGTACGCGAATGGCACCTAGAAAAATAAAAAGCAACATTTGTATTTTAAGGAATTAGTACAGCATTCAATAGATGTGAAATGCGTTTTCCCAATTTTATTTCAAAGCATAAACATTTTTTAAAAAGTCCAATTAATCTATTCTAAAAAGTGTCGCCTGTAAACAGTGGTTCTTCACTAACCGATTGTAAAAATAGGCAGTTATTTCAATGGATACCATAACATTTCTGGGTGAAATTAAATTAAGAAACAAAATGTTAAGATGGAACAAAAACAAGGTCCCCATGATCACACAGTTATACAGAAAAAACAATGATGGCAAATAAAACAAGCTCTAACCCATGCTCTTTATTGTAGGGTCGAATGCATGCAAACAAAAAAAGGTCCCCCAAAGAGCTAATTAATCAAGCAGAAACCCAACGATTGAATCTATTTTCCACAACTGAAACATTTAAAATAAGTGTCTGTTGGCTTTTCGCATAGACTGACATACTCACGGGTCCGATAATTAGAACAGAATACTGAAAAGTCAGAGTTTCCACCTCTGGTATGACTACTAATTTAACATTTGTATAGAAATGTCCATCAGCCCTGATATTTCCCCTACTCAAAGCTGCTCCACTATCTGCAATGATGACAAACAATAGAAAGGTTTCCCATGCATAAACTGTGCCAGGCTGGAAAAGTTAAACAGTCCTACAGAATCACAGCTGTTCTGTGTCTCTATTCAGAGGATTACCATTCAAGTGATCTCCACCAGTCACGATCGCATCCTGGATAGTGAAAGAGGCCCTTTAATCCAACTACCACCTTAATAATGAACATGTAGAATGGAGCCTTACCATGGTCATATCTATGTAGTTCATTCAGATCTGGAATTTGACAGCTTATGTTGCTTATGTCATCTGTACCCAAAAAAGATGCATCCAATGACAGGTCATTTTCAAACACCATTTGCATCAAACTACTTTGGCCCTTTATGTTAGCGAATGTTTCCGTGACGTCTTTGAGAAAATTATCCTTGCCATGGCTCAGACTCAGCAGCAAGTGTCCTGTTAAAGTAAAGGCAAATATAAGCACAAACTTGTGATACTACCATCCTAAACATTTTCAGTAATGTATTTAAAAAGCTCACACAGAGAACCAATAAAATCACAATTGTCTAAACTACAGTGTCTAAACTACATATATAGTTTACAGAAAAGCTAATTGACTCTCAGCTGGAATACCAGCGTTTCCACAGCTTTGAGCACCACAATGTGAGGGAAGGGGAAATGGGTGTAGAAGAGCTGCTAAGGTAATCAGCCAAGCAGTAATACTCAATTCCAAATCTTTACATTACAGAAAGAGGGGTTGATTCGTGATTGAGGAACCAATACCTCAAAAAACTATCAACATTACCTGATTGACTTTGTCGATCACACGCCAACCCTTCAAGAATGCTTTGTGAATTTTCCTCTGCTTTAGCTGATTTTTTCCATGGCACCTAAACATCCAAATAAAGCATTACCACAAGAAAAAAGAGTTGTCAGCTGCAAGAACGTCCCTGATGTCCTACATTGTGGCTAAATAAATTAAAGGCATGAGGTAGATTGGAAGGGGAAACATGCACAGATGAACAGAGTTCTATTTTTTTATAGTGTAACTATTCTTAATACAACACTATACATTCAATTACATACCTGGAAAGCAAGAAGATAACAGAGTGCAGCTGGTTCCAATGATGCCTTCCACTGAACTTCATTGTGCTGAGCCATTTTCAGTAACTGAGTTCCAGTATGCATGTAGTAATGACCTCGCATTTCAGTGAATGTAGTTGACAGTTCGTCTGTGCCATCTGCATAGGGCTTCATTGACAGGAGTGCTTGATCAAAACTGATAGGGGAGAGCAACATTTTATATACCATTTCAGTGTCTTGTTTAGTTTGTTCACTGCACAAATGCTACAATATATTGGGATTCGATTCTTCAGCTACAAGTCCAATAAAATCACTTTAAGGAATTGTTCAGATGGAAAGACGGCACTTGGCATGCAGCTGAGGAAAAGGTGTTTAAAGTGCTAAATCTTTCCATTTTGTTAACTTTTTTTTGTCAAGTTAGCCATTCATGTATAGATTTTGTCTATTCAGCCTGTGAAGGTCACTCAATTTCCCCATGGGTGGAGAAATCTCCAGTTCCGACTATTGGTCTTCAGACCACCGCTGGCACCTGCAGCTGCCGGAACGCTCAAACAATGACTGCAGTCCCTGTTCAGCTGCTTGGATTTTTAATCAACTTAACAGGTCCACCCCTACCTTGAATTTCAGCTGAAAAATGGCTGAAATTTGAGCCATGAAGAACCGGCTTTAGTTTAGGCCCTTAAATGCAGTATTAGGAGCTAAAAGACACTGTAAATTAAAAGGTATATAGCACGGCAAAAAAATTTCAGAATTCAGGGGACCTCCAACCCAACAGCAAATATAAATCTAAGAAAGCCTGCATAGTTAAAATAAGTTTGAGACTGAATATTAGAAATGTCACATACACAAACTTGTTGCAACTTGTCTTGGAATATAGATAATTTAAAGTTTCAAACTAAAAAGCCATTTTTAATGGCACTTTTCCCATTTTACTTACCACATGTCCACACCTATGAATTTTCAACATTAACAGAAAGGAGGATACACCCTCTAATTGGCTATATATCTAAATCTACAATGTGCATCCTTACGGAGTAAATGTTGCCATGAAATGCCATGAAATAAACCATCTAAATATCTTATGGTTTTCACTCAGTCTAAGATGACTAATAGGATGGTGGGTCTATGGGTCTATTCTCCACACATTTGAAATACTGTATGTAGAGACATTTCACACTGCAAAGTTGAAGTATTGCCCCTTGCCCTTTCTGCCAATACTAGCTCTCTTTTCAGCAATTTCTTTGTAAGTAGGACACCTGCAGGATGTGTAGAAGGGGATAAGCATATGAACATTTAGCAGAAACAGCAGCTCATACATCTTCCCCCACGTACCTGCACAAGACAATAGTGCTCTACAAAACATTCATCTTAGGATTCACTTCAAAAGTTATTTTCTATGCCAAATCTTTTAAAAGGCAATTCTAAACATATTACTAAATCTTGGTACATACAAAACAAGCAACAGAAGATTAGAAATTATACCTTTTAAGTGCTTGTTTGCTTTCCTGCACATCTCTGGCAGAAAGTGTTACAACAACAAGGTCTGCAAGTGCAAGCAATAATTCCTTGTTAATTGTTCTCCAATTGCTTTTAGTTGAAGCGGTATGAGAGGATAAATATTCCTGTAAAACACAAAGAATTAAAACTCAATCTTCTATAACTGCATTGGTACATCATTCCAGTTTCCCCATCCCGCTTTTGTAAAGTGTGAAAGAGTGTGGCATTAAAGCAAACCTTTTGCTGGATGGGTGGATGATGTGGGTTGACACGTTATAGGGTGAGATACAAGTATAGTGGCTGGAACGGGATGGGCATGAGGACTGTAAGGTGGCAGGGAGGGAGGTGCTGCAGGGAAACTAGCCCTTGTCATGTAGACTGATTCATTTGATTGAACTTCAGTTGCAGCAAATGGCTTAATAATTCTCTCTTCCCATAACCCACAGCAGTGGCGATCCCCAAACAGCTTTGCCTTCATCCTTTCCACCCTGGGCACAACCTCGATTTAGGGCAGCCCTGCACATCTGTCAGATTATTGATGTATCAAAGTGGGAGTGAGGTGAGGGTGACCACTGTGTCGGAGCAAGGATAAGCAGGGGAGGAGGGAACATGTAAACAGATCCCAGACGGAATAAACGGTTTGTCCGAGCACCAATAAAGCAAAAACAAAATCATATGTCAAGGAATTTGAGACTACTAAGGAAATAAATACCTTTAAAACTTGCACAACACAAGAGCACCATTCTAGGTGAGTGTGTAAAGCTCTTCTCTCTGGCTTTAAACAGTGGATCACAGCTTCATCCAGTCTTTTACTGGACCGAAATAACTCCACAAGTCTAATATTGACAAAAACATCATTGGGCCTTGCAAACAGCTCCGACTGGATTAAATCGAACAACTGATTCCAGCCTGCTTCACCTTGATTGTCCAAGAGCTGCTCCTGAAAAAAAAAACCCACAATATATAGAAATAACTACAGTCTACGTGAGAAATGAAGACTCCAAAGTGGTACACAACCTCAAAACACTGCACAGACCTGTACTGGAAACATCTAAAAAGGTAAGTATTAAAAATAATCACGAGGAGCAATGCAAAAAATTCAAATAACCTGCCTAAACAAAATACATGGTTTTAAGAACTGTGCAGCATTGGAAAAGCCCATAAATCCTGGCCAAAAATAAGACAAAGAAGGAACCTCAATTTGAAAAGGCATCCTGATAATGGCAATTGTCTTCCAATAACATCTGCTAATATATACAACCGAGACCTATTTTTATAAGCTTAAACAGGCCCTATGTTAGTTGAAGAAATGGTATCTCACTATTCACTAGTGAACACAGTACCATGTTTATATGCCCTTACTACAGCAGGACTGACACTATGAATGTTGTGCTCTCCAGTTTGTCCTAAACCTTCCACAGAATAAGAAACTTAATATGTGTGACATACAAGTAATGGTAGAGGACTATCAGAAGGTACAAGGGGGGGAAAAAAAAAGCACAAAGTAGAAAAATGGGCGGCCATGTATCCAAACGAAATTAGATCGACATCTGTATGAAAATTTGTATGGCCATTTGTACGACATCTGTATGGCCATTTTAACGTGGTTCAAAAAATCTGGGGATAATGGTTGTCATAGTATCATTCCAGCTGCAGTACATTGTTAGCAATGTGGTTACCCACACTGCATATCCATTAGTCTCCTAAAGTGTGTGGAAATAAAGACAGATGTCCAGGTAAAGGCTTTACAAGTGCAAACAAAGAAAGCAAATGCAAGGCTACCAACATAGAAGCACATGACACAATGGAAAATTATAAACTCTGCAGCTGACCTGTTCAATGGCAATTGTAGTTCTTGAAGCTACGATGTCCTAAATTATCTTGCTTTTAACCACATGCTTTTTATGCATCCTCAATTTTGTTTGCTGGTTTTACCCGAATTAGCTGCTCACCACATTTTCTGTTTGCAATTGTTGATGCCCATTAACAGGAATTCAGCTGCTCTCAAAGCTTAGTCCTCTTTGGGACAAAACTATTTATAAGAAAGCATTGGAAGTATTAAAAACATCTCCAGGCCAAGTATATGACTGCTAGAGTGAGGACACTATTAGGTATTGCTGAGACAGAGCACAGCCTAAACTGCACAGTCTTTGCCGAAGCCAGGATAACTGACTTAGGCAACTAATGAACTATACACCACAGATATTAAAATTTCGAATTCAGAGTTACTTGTTAACAATTAAGGGCTATGAATCACATCATCCAACATGCAATTAATGCAAAAATCTTTCCTATAGCTTACTTTTAGCCTGTAGGTAACAGGACTTCCGGGGAAAAGCTTGGCTGCTTTTTCCACCCAGTATTCTGCTCTACCATCTTTGACATCACTAGTGCAGATCAATTCAGCAATCTTAAGGACAAGATCCTTCTGTGTAGGGTTTAGTTCCAACGAACGCTAAAATGACAGGAAAAATAACACATTATAACAGTAATCAAAAGCAGTATACTTTTTACTGTGAACTGAAGCCAGGTTCATTAAACACGTGAAGAAATAAAATAAAGAACTTTATATAATGAAGTAAAATTCCATAGCCCCGACAATCAGAATTTCTGTTATGACAATAAAAGTAAATCTAAGAATAAACTATCTACAGCTTATTATTCATATTTAAAATAGTACCTGACCTCACATTATAGCAACCTACCATCAGGAGATAAATATATGTGAACTAGACATTCCTGCACATTTTTTGCTTTTCTAACAAATTGCTTTTACACATCTAAAAACAGTTTAAAGATAATGCTCAAGTACCTTGTAGCAGCCAACAGCTTTATCAACATTTCCTTCAAACTCAAAAAGGTGACCAAGAAACCTGTGAGCTTTTGGATCCCTTGCTTGCACATCAATGTAGGACGATACACATCTGAAAACATAATGAATGATCCCACTTTAAAGCTTAAACATTTTATGAAAACATGCATGAAAACACATTATAGCCTTAGTAAAAGCTAGGGATGCACCGATACCACTTTAAGGCCGAGTACGAGTAACGATACTTTATTCCAAGTACTCGCCAATACCAATTACCGATACTTTTTCTTAAAGGGACAGGTCACATTTTTTCCAAAGCAATAAAAAAAATCATGATTCTAGGTCAGTTTCTTAATATTATGAAGAACATGAACACCCTGTAGTGTGGCACAGCTATATCCAATTCAATATCCCTAGTAAAAGCACTACATTTCAGTCAAACATCATCTGATTACAGTAACTGACTACCATACATGCACAAAGACAATGTAAGTACTGTGAAACTATTCAAGAATGGGTTATGCAAATCAAGGTTTAGGCCTCATTCACACTGCCGCGCGTATAAGCACGTACGTGCATATTGTACCATATGGAACATATGCAAATAAATGGTGATGCGTCCGGGCAGTGTATTTTACGCGCATACGCATGTTTGCACATACAGTTCATTAAAATTTGCATTAGGAATGATGCATTCTGGGAGTGCAAATAGTGCACCCATATACGCACAGACGCTCGTATGTACGCGCATAGACACAATATACAATTTTGCTTGCGTTGTGTGTGAATGATGCCTAAGTGTCGCAATAGTGCATATCTGATTGCTGTCGTACACTCTCCAAAAATGTCAGCAGAACATTTCCTGCTCAACTATGATGCTAGTGAGGAAAAATGTAAAACCACAATGTAACAATCACAGAAGTGTCTTCACCTGGATAGTATTTCATACAATAATAGGCAGGGGTGGACAAACTAATATGGAATTTAGGAACAAGTCTGTCCAATCCAGGAGCCAGAAGGATTTTTTCCAGGAGCCAGCTCCATTAACTAGACAAAACATCAAAGATTAGGTGGCAGCTGTAAATTTTAAAGGAACATTGGCTACCTGGCTCCTGGGATTTGTCAAGCCCTGCTGATAGGGATCAACCTTTTGAGGTAGAGCTCAAATAAACCACCCCTGCTACTGAAATGAAAATGCCAAAGAAGAATCCATGCAAGTAAAACAAAGTACAAAAAGCTTTAGAGAATTTCAAGATGGTTTTAAACGCCACATATTTTGTGAAGCGACATCATTTAAATTACCTCTTAGCAAGATCATATTCTTTAGCTTCATAGTACAACTTGGCAATGAGGAATCCTTTCATGGCTTTCTGCAAATAAAGCAGTCACAATAATATCATAGGTTGATTTAAAAAGAAAAATCATTTTCAATACAAGAATTGTAGTTGTATGCCAACTTTATACATTGCAAAGATTTCAAACTACTGCAGATTCCCGAATCTTTTAGGTTCAGGGATATTCATTTATTTTGACAGCTAAGGCGGTAGATTGGTCTTCACGATAATCCCATAAGAAGCCTCAGTGCTGCAATTAACAAAAATGGAGTGCCAATGCATTACTATAAATATGCAAGCTCCTTTTCAAGTATTTTCACCAAAGATTTTATTGCAGAGGATACCTATATTTTCATCTCAAGCTCTATTGCAGACTTCTTAAAGACCAGTGCACTGACATGAGAGCAGCAAATTATACAAATAGTCCACCGAAGACCCCCAGGTTCCTAAGGCTGGACGGAACCCACCACATTTGGCTCTAAATTTCCATAGTAGTGCTGGTCAGGTGAGCACATAGTGGCTCAGACTAAACACAAGCAGTGTTGAGACCTGCCATTGGATGAAGGCTAACATGTTCTTTAGAGAGCTTATCACCATAGCTGCTCCTCTAGAATTGTGCTCACAACTTTTTATTTGAATTACACTACGTACGGCACCCCCATCAGCCATATTCTGACAGTATTGCATACAGAAGCACAGAGACCTAGTGATGGTGTGTTGATGGGATGGGCGACCAGGCAAAATGTAAGAAAAGCAGATTAAAATTCAAATTAAAAAAAACAAAAACAAAAAACACACACAAAGATTACTGCAAGAAGAGCTCTTATATTAACTTCTGACACCTATCTTCCCGAGTTCCAGCACTGCTGCCTCCATCAGACTCTAGCAATCAACACTTTCAGAAGTATTAGATGCTCGTCTCACTCCCGTGTGGCTCCATCCACTACGTCACTACAAGAGAGCAGTGACATTGATGCAAGATGTCAGCGGAAGGAACCACAGCATGGGGGATAGTAGTCTCCTACTGCAAGGAACCTGTTCTTGAATTTTTAAGTGACTTGACAAGGTTGCTATCACTCATGGGACAGAAAGCTGTGCTGAGAACATGAATCTACAGAGCACAGCCCTCTAGTTGTCCATTCTCCTAGGAAGCCAGCTAATGATATCTGATAAGTAAATAGACTTCTCTAATTAGAGTTCACCGTCAGCATTACCAGCTACCCTCTAGCACAGTGGTTCTCAACCTGTGAAACCTCAGGACCCACATTTGTCCTTCGTCATTAAGTCGCACTGCAGCACAACGCACGGCACTGCAGTACCACACGTTCCTGGTGCAGGCGATTAAACTGTGGGCAGGAGGTGCGTTTGGGGTGCCATTCAAATGAATGGCAACACAACACACCTCCCACATCAGAGTGTGTGGTAGGTGCGATTGTGTGGTACAGTGCGTTAAGTGCACAGGACTGTTCAATTACCACACTGTACTAGTCTGAATGGGCCCTCAAAAACACTGACAGACACACAACATTTTTTTTTTTTAAGATCCACCCAGTCTCCATACCTTACGAGAACAAGAGTGGATCCCCAGCCTGTGGTCCAGTGTGGGCTGCTGTGCTGTGACGGAGCTTCGGAGCTGACGGAGCGAACGGCTGTATGTGTTCGCTCACTTCCCGATCTACTGAGCCGACCTGAGACAGTCTCACATTGTCACAGGTCGGCAAGAACTATGAGGCTGAGTGAAAAGCACTCACCTCATAGTTCTCCTTTAAACATTAAAAAAACATTCAAGTTCCCCATTAACAAAAATGTATCTTATTTGTGCATCACTCAGCTGTGGATCCTCAAATCATCTCTGAATTGGTGCCGACACTGTCCTTCCTTCTGTGGGGTGGTTACTTTTGTTCCCCATGTTTCCTGTGTGTGTTGTAAAGTATCTATAACTCCAAGCTCGATCCCGTAATGGACTACAATCGCAATACAAATTAGTAAACTAAATGTGAGATTGTAGCAGATCACAGGAGGGAGCTTGGAGTGATGGCTACTTTACAACACACTCAGGGACAATGGGGAACTTAAGTCGCCACCCTCCAGAAGGAAGGAAAGTGTCAGCACCAACTCAGAGATGATTTGAGGATCTACAGCTGAGTGATAGACAAATAAGATACATTTGAATACCTCAATGCATTTTTAAGATTTAAATCCTGAGTTTAGTGTTACTTTAAGCTTTCAAATTGAAAGATAGATGATTGGTTACTATGGGCAACTGCTCCAGATTCTGATAATGTTCCCTATGTGTTTTCTAAACTTCCTGAGCAGTTCACAGCTGCATAGTGTAAAAGACCTCCTGACTGGAAAAACAAAAACTAAAAAACAATGTACTGCATGGGTAAGGCCTTTGCACTACATAGTTGTTGGTAAAGTATATCCAACAGCTCAAACTTGCCCATGTTTAGCCAGCTTTAGTTTCATATTGAACTGAAACTATTCCATTGTTTAAATTAAACAACTAAACATTGTCCTCTTCTGCTGTGCCGGACAACTCTCTAATGCAGAGGAAGTCACCAGAAATGTCTTCTAACACTCCTAGAAGGGTCAGCTCCTAATCTCCTGTGTCTTCTAACACTCCTAGAAGGGCCAGCTCCTGATCTCCTGTGTCTTCTCTCCAACACTCCTAGAAGGGTCAGCTCCTTCTCTTATGTCTTCTAACACTCCTAGAAGGGCCAGCTCCTGATGTCCCATGTCTTCTAACACTCCTAGAAGGGCCAGCTCCTGATCTCCTTTGTCTCCTCTCCAACACTCCTAGAAGGGCCAGCTCCTGATGTCCTATGTCTTCTAACACTCCTAGAAGGGCCAGCTCCTTATGTCCTATGTCTTCTAACACTCCTAGAAGGGTCAGCTCCTGATCTCCTATGTCTTCTAACACTCCTAGAAGGGCCAGCTCCTGATGTCCCATATCTTCTAACACTCCTAGAAGGGCCAGCTCCTGATGTCATGTGTCTTCTCTCCAACACTCCTAGAAGGGTCAGCTCCTTCTCTTATGTCTTCTAACACTCCTAGAAGGGCCAGCTCCTGATGTCCCATGTCTTCTAACACTCCTAGAAGGGCCAGCTCCTAATCTCCTATGTCTTCTAACACTCCTAGAAGGGCCAGCTCCTGATCTCCTGTGTCTAACACTCCTAGAAGGGCCAGCTCCTGATGTCCCATGTCTTCTAACACTCCTAGAAGGGCCAGCTCCGGATCTCCCGTGTCTCCTAACACTACTATAAGGGTCATCTCCTGTGTCTCATAACACTACTAGAAGGATCAGCTCCTGATCGCCTGTGTGTTCAGTTGTTTCTTCTGACCACCCATACATAACAGAACAGGGGTGGGCAACTCTGGCCATCCAGCTGTGCTTTTAACTACAAATCCCAAGACACCTCTGCTAGTCATGCCTGTAACTGTCAGTCTTACAATGCTTTATGAGACTTGTAGTGTCACAAGAGCTGGAGGACTGGAGTTGCCCACACTTGCTGCATAACTATGTGACATGGGGGTCAGTTGGTGTAAGCACAGAGCACAGCAGGGGACATGGACATCTAATACTGACGGAAGAGACTATATCTCTTCATTAGTCTCATTCACACCTGGGTGTTTTGTCTAGGATTTCCAGAGCACACCAATGCTGAAAAATTATCCTCAATGGGTACATTCACACCCGAACGTCGTGTCTCTTGTCTATGAAGTTTGAAAAAGTGCATTAGCTCTTTTTGGGGCTGAATCGTGTGTTTGACCCCAGAAATCTTAACTGCTTCCCATCCAGTGGCCGATCCTAAACAGACAGGAGTTTTCTAGATGTGGGGTGGGCATTTTAAAACGTCCCTCCCGGCGTGCAAGAGTGGGAAAACTGCCTAAAATGTAAACAACCAATGGTAGTTTAAACACAAGCGGTCCGGCATCTGGAGAGATGCCCGATTGCGGGTTTGGGCAGCACTGAAAACTAAAAAATGGCCAGGACAGGAAGGGGGTCTAACACCCCGGTCTTCAAGTCATGCCTAAAAAAAAAAAAACACACGTTTAGGCATGTGATCTCGTTTGAAAGTCTATGTGGCCAAAACCACACAGTTCTGTTTGTGCAGTAAAAGTTACATAACACACCAACAAAAAAGCCTCCGAGTCAGCTCAGGTGTGATTGGGACATGGAGCATTGCAGGCAGCAGCAGAGGTGAGGATTTCTTACTAAGGGATAACTTATTACCACTTTCATTCTATTATAGACACAAAGTCACTTTAATACTAAACCTCTGATCTGGGATGCTGGGTCACCCTCTAAGTGCGGTAAGGTAACCCCGGGGTATAACAAGCAAGGCCTGCTACACAGATTCCCCCCCCATCCGGGTGTGTATGCTCAGTATAACGGGTCTGAGCCTGTTTAGAAGCGGTGCGAGTGCAATTCATGCCGGGACAAGGCCGGAGACGGGGTGCTTACCTCCCGAGGAGAGGAGACGCTGCTCTGGACATTGTCGATGTATTTCTGTAGGTCCACTTTACTGCGCCTCATCCTGATCACTCCGTGTACACACGGCCCCGTGAAAGCCGCACTCTACACAACACACTTCCCGGAAGGCGCTCACGCAACTCTGGCGGCTTCACGGATATGACGTCAGAAACGTCACTTCCTCCGGTATGAAGACCCAGTGCCCGAGGAGGTGGTGGGCGGAGTCTGGTGTGCGCCGTGCGAGAAACGTCAGTACGCTAGACGTGACTACGCCCTACTGCGCTAGGCGGCAAAGGGGGCGTGACAGTGAAGTTCTGTCAGAGAGTAGAATGGAATCCCTCGGTCCTCTCTGGTCATTGTCTTTGTTCTCCGGTATAGAGCCGTATACATAAATGGACCATTTATCTAAGAAGGTTGTTTAGTTTGCACTAAACTTTGCAAAAGTGTGTGGTGACCCCTTGTTCGGTGGGTCACCGCATGCCTTCAACTTTTTTTAGGTTAGAGGCTTCTCAGCCTCCCCCTAATGCAGTTCTCTCGCAAAGTAGGCATTCAAAATATACTGCGACGCCCGGACTGGGACTAAAAATAGGCCCGGGCATTTGAGACTGAGCAGCCCAATCACATGACCCCAGCAGGCCCCACCTCATCAGAGGCGGAGCCAAACAAAAGCACAATCAAGTTTGCATTATGGTTACAGTGCTGTGCAACACCCGCCTAGCACTAATTGTGTGTGGCTCAACCTAATTGTTTTCACTGCCCAATAGCCAGTCCGGGCCTTGTGGGAGCCCCTCATAATGGGCACAGTGGGTGTGCAGACCTGGGAACTCAACACAGGGATGGTGGGAGCTCCTCATAATGGGCACAGTGGGTGTGCAGACCCGGGAACTAAGCATAGGGATGGTGGGAGCTCCCCATTATGGGCACAGTGGCTGTGCAGACCCAGGAACTAAGCATAGGGATGGTGGGAGCTCCTCATAATGGGCACAGCAGGAGTATAGACCCAGGCACTCAGCACAGGGATGGTGGGAGCTCCTCATAATGGGCGCAGGAGTACAGGCACAGGGATGATGGGAGCTCCTCATAATGGGCACAGCAGGAGTATAGACCCGGGAACTCAGCACAGGGATGGTGGAAATCCCTAAAAATGGGCACAGCGGGTGTACAGACCCGGGAACCCCTCATAATGGGCACAGCAGGAGTATAGACCCGGGAACTCAGCACAGGGATGGTGGGAGCTCATAATGGGCACAGCAGGTGTACAGACCTGGGGAACTCAGCAGCACACCAGGGCTATGCGGTCTCACTGGGGCGGCATGCGGGTCTCGCCGGGGTGGGTCTCTCCCTGGTGGCCAGCGGAGGCACCCTGGTGGTTAGTGGGGGCTCCCTGGTAAATAGTGAGGGCTCCCTGTGTAGGGTGACCATTTGTCCCCGATTTCCAGAGACAGTCCCCGGATTGCAGAGACCATCCCCGGACAAATTATGTCCCCAAAAATGTCGCATGGGATATTCCCAATGTTTTATGGGAACATAAAATAATTTTTTTTTTTAAATACTCACCTGATCCTGGGATCCACCGACAAGCGCAGACTCCCGTCTCCCACGCTGTCAGAATATGACAGTGTGGTGTGCAATATAGAACATTATACAGCGGCGCAATGGAGAATAACAGCAACAAATCGCAGCAATAGTACATTATACTATATTGTACTATTGCTGGGATTTGTTGTTCCTCTATACCTGCTGGTATTCTGCATTGCGCCGCTGTATAATGTATTATTGCTGGGATCTGATACATTGCTCTATAGCTGGTGTTATTGGAGAGGACGGGTATGATGGTGGAATGGTGTAGGGATGGAGAGGATGGGTATGATGGTCCACTGCAAACGCAAAAAATAGAGCTTGCCCTATTTTTTGCGTTTGCACTTAAACGGAACACTAGCAAAGTTTTGCCACGCGTTCGCACTGCGGGCAGGGAAGCGGCACCATTGAATACAATGCACCGCCACACCCCCTCCCGCCCTAAATGCGGGGGGAAGTTTCACAGTGATCACGGTGCGTTCCAGCAGCCACCGCTCTGGAACGCACACACTTTCGGTGTGAACAAGCCCTAAAGAGATCAGTCATTAAACATAAAAAAAAAAACCTTCCTTAAAAAAAAAATGTCACCTTACCTTGGTGGTCAGCGGGGCTTCCTGGACCCTGGTTGTGGGGGCTCTGCTGTGGCCGCAACTGCCAGTCCACCTGCATCAGATGCGACTCGATAATCGGCGTCTGCACTCCAATAAGGGGGGGCACTGGGGCGTACTGACCATTCGGCCGCCACCGCTGCTCCCGGCCAGTCTGCCTGCATCAGATGCGGCTAACTAATCGGGCCGCTGCTCGCTCATTGGAGGGCCGCATCTACCTGATCCAGCTAGCCCGGTTCGCCTCGGTATGCGATCCGGGCTGGCTGGATCAGGCAGATGCGACCGGGAGCAGCAGTGATGGCCGAATGGTCAGTGCGCCCCCCCCCCCTTCCTCCTGATTGGACTGCAGGCGGCCGGACCGCTGGCTGGTCGGCTGGATCAGAGATCACTGTCCGGAGAACGCTATGCATCAGACATAGCGGGACGATCGGGGCTGAACACAATCAGGCTGACCGCGTTCGGCCCGGCCCACCGGGCAAGTGCCTGGTATGCCCTATGGCCAGTCTGGCCCTGCCGACACCTATTGTCAGCTTTAGATGGGGTGCGCTGAGGGGTATGGCTGCGAGGGAGCTCCATCCTTGCGTGCATTGCTTACAGCTTCCTCCTGTGTCCTGTAGTGGTGCCTGGACTGGGGTGATGTCACATTCTGGCTCCTGGCACCTCTACAAGGCACGCGAGAGAGCTGTACAAGCAATGCACATATAGATAGAGCTCCTTCACAGCACAACAGCCCACACTGGACCACAGGCTCACCAGCAATTTTGTCCTAGGGCTAATTGTACACTGAGCCGTGTATTCGCAGCACAGTGTACAATAATGGAATGTTGTGGGTGCTGTAACAAAGTCAATCCAATGCGCATATTCAGTTACATCATCCTGGATTGGCCACTTAAGCGGGCTGCAGACTCCAGACCTGGGAGAGAACCAAAGATATCAGTGATGGTGACTGAGCGATGGAGGGAAAGTGAGGACATTGCATCACTGCGTTTTGAGATGTAAGTGTGCTATAATGTGTTGGGCATCCCTGCACATTAAACTCTCACACTTTCTCCAATAATGAATCCAGCTCAGACAAACATACACTGCCCAACAGTATTTCTTTATATATTCTCTATACATTTTTACCCAAGCAATTACAATCATGTTTCCGAACAGCCGGCTCCGACTCTCTCAGCTCCACATCCCTGAACTTACTATCCAGTACAAGCTCACAAGGGACAGAACAATCTCTAGAAGTTGTCCATCAATTAACTTGAAGAGGAGATGAAGGAAGAGTGTAAAGCCGGGAGAAGGAACCAGCCGAGTTGTGGGAAAATGTAAGACCCCCTACCTCCGTAGTAATCTCATCTTAAGATATCTCATGCAAAGCTCTGTATAGACCAGCCTTTGTCATCCAGGGTGCCTTCTCACTTCCTCTGAAATTTCCACATCATCATGCCTCCAATGAGAAGAGTGCTTCTGATATGAATGGGTGGGGGGGGGGGGGGGGGGGGAAAAAGGGGAGGCTCTGGTGTGAAGCAGAATGTAAACCCCACTTTTTGTATTTGCATTTTTGCTTAGGGTTCCCCCTTAAAACCATACAAGGCCCCTTATGGTGGATAAGGGTCTGGTAAGGCTTTTGGAGGGACCACACATCATTTTTGATATTTACATTTTAGACTGGGGTGCCTCAAGATTTTGCATACTTTTAGAGGGCGCTGTGACTGGAAAAAGGTTGAGCAATAGGTATAAACTGGTTTAGACAAGGCTGTGTAAACCTAAGGCCCCATTCACATTGAGCGATTTGCATTTTGCGCGATATCGCGCAAATGCTTGCATTGAGCAAGCTAGAATCACAACAAAATCCGCTCCAAAAAAGGTCCTGCTGTAGCGACGCACGACCCGCGACAGCAACGGACAGAGCCCCATTGAGATGCATTGAAGAGCGATATCGCGCGGTAATTGCCCTCGATAAATCGCTCAGTGTGAATGGGGCCTTACAGAGCAGAATGTTAATAGGCTATTTCAATGTGACTGGAAGCTTCACTGACCAATACATGGAATGTGTGGGCCATCCTTTGCCAGGACTGTTCACATTTTTCAATTAGTGCACCCCCTTTCTAGAGGAATTTTGGGGTGACCAGAAGCAAGTTTACATATGTATGCAAGTATTACTGAGTGTCTGTGTTATATTCGCATTTTCTGTTACCCACTTAGATGTACAGTTGACTATGGCATGTCTCAAATGTTAATGAAGTACAAATGTAGTTAGGTTATTGTCTACATTACCCAAGGCTAAGTTGCCAGCATTATAAAACAGCTTAAAGGCTGGAGTCACATCTCTGCATTGTGGTAATATGCATGTTACCATATCACAATGCACAGTAGCACATGAACCAGAGTGCCTTTCATTTCGAATGGCACGACATTGGACTTGCATTTTAGCTCAACGCAATTCACACATGTAAGCCAACTGAGTAATGCTGTGTTGGAACTTAAAGGAAAAAAAAAAAAAAAAGTGCATGTGCATTAAAAGTGATGGCAGCCCACTCAAAATAAATGGACTGCCTTACTACACTTACTACAGCACACAAAAACCTGTTAATGTGATTGCAGTAACATCCTACACAAGTGTAAATCCAGCATACGTAAACCTGTCCGGTTCTAAATGTCGTTTTATTTCATACTAGCCACATGCATGTGCATTGTAGTGCTGGAAGTGCCCCGTCAAAACTCCTTCGATTTTAGACCAAGCCATGATGAATAACAGAACCGGTACCTTATTTTGCTAGTGTGAGGGGCATGGTAACTATAAGAACAGACACCATATTTTGCTTACTGTACAGTGTCCACATGCCTTGTAACTGTAAAGCTATATAGTGGACATTTCCTTTAAGTTGGACGCCTGGCAAACGCATGAAAACAAACACTGAAATATATAAATGTGAACAGTTCAAAAGATTTGTATTCCTGTTCAGGTAATTTTAAGATCCTGACACCCATGTCTGACATAAATTCAGTCTTACTGGTTTATAATGGCA